AAAGAGTGTCAGAGGGTAGTCATGTGTGCTGGTTTGTGGCAAGAGATCCAAAGGAAGGAAAGGGGAGCACATTAACGAAAGAAATCAAAGAGTAGAGAGAAAATCTGTGGACTGGTTTTGGAGTAGGCCCGTGCCATTTATATTTTAGATTCCAGGTTAATAAAAAAAAAGGAGAATGGCGTATTACGAGGGGATAGGAAGTAGTCCTATGCATATAAGTTAACACATTGAAACTTGTCTTGGATTTTTGTGCAAGCAACATAGTAAATTAATTTGGCAATGGTGTTATAGAACTTGTGCTATACATGCTTAGTGTTTGGACTTCAAAAAATTAACCAACAAAGAATAAACCTAATGCAAAGCAAAATGGCTAGATAGATCCGAGAGGTTTAAGCCATGTATCACAATCTTTTTCATTCACTTATTATGCATAACCGTGATGTTTATGGATAAGTAACATTCTAATAAAATAAAATTCAAAATATCTGTAAACTCACATTCCTAGGAATGCCCTATATACTTCTCATGTACTACGCCAATCAAATCCATTCAACTTCTCCTGTTTGGCATCCCACTGTTAATCGGTAATGCTAAAAATTTATTAAAAAATGCATTTGAATATGAAAGTTTCAAAATAATTATTCTGGTAAGTAATTAGTGTGATTTCTGTTGAAATAAATAGCAAATTTAGTTGTAGAAAAGAAATTTAGAAGAGAACGGTTTAGGATTGGTAGAATTAAAGCTCATTACATGTATGATACACAATTTCACATTATGAAAAATTGTGAAATATAAATCCATATTACTAGAAAAGCAATTAATAAATAGATGTAATAAGTATTAACATAAATCTATACACACAGCAAATGAAGATATAAATTTAATGCGAACGCAAAAGCATATACTCTTAAAAGACTCTAGGACTAGAGAGAAGTGAACTTGACATGGAAGGGAGGGCCCAAGAGAGAGAGTGTGTTGTGGGTGGGGGGCGGGGAGATGGAGATAGAGTAGGGGGTTTAGTAGAGGAACTTCGAGAAGCAGGTGGTAAAGAGAAAACCTTTGCATACAAAGTGCAAAATTTTATTCAACACAAAGTATATACTTTTTTGTCATGCATAAGATCCCCATGTAAAGAAAAAGAGGAATTTCACCAAGTACTCCCATATTTTTCTTAACTAATATGCTAGATGATACTTTCAAACACAAGAAACTGAAATGATATAAAATGTAAAGATAAGAAACATAAAACATAAATATAACTTATCCACTCAAAGGATAGAAGGGGGATTTGGGTTCAACTCAGATGGTAACATCAAGAGGCGCGTTGGTAATTGTAACGAGATCATTTATTGAATCAAAAGAAACACTTCCAAGAGTTTGAAACTCTTATACATATTGGAGATGGAAGTCAAACTGCTAATGCACATCAAGCAAGGAAGAAACATAGTAACTCTGCATGCCTGTAAAAGGATCTTGAGGCTCTAAACTTGGATTTTCCCATTAGAAATGCAAAAGTATAAAATCAATAATTTGTCCAAGAGTCTATGTAATATCGTAGTTGCAAAATTTAAAGCACAAAGTCAACCTATAAGCTACTGATAAATAGTGAAGTACAATAAAAAAAATGAAACATCACCATTCCCCATTTTAGAGTGCGATAAAATGATATATTGTGCACTCAAATAACGAAATTCAGGTCTAAAATTAGCTTGAATGCCAATGTGGACGTGTCAACCTAAAACTCTATACTACAACAAAATGACGATATAACTTCTATGGTGAAGCATATGTGATTTAAATGGAGATACATATAAAGAAAAACAAGCAATAAGATAATATTGCCGAGCTTAGAAGATATACTTATTGAACTTTGTTTAGCTTACGCATGTTATATGGATCCAAGTGCTCATGTTAAAAAATCAAAAGTAGCCAATTTGACCGTAGCATGAATAAAAATGTCAGAAAGAATGTGTGGAAAGCCAGGAAGGATATAATTAAAAATCAGTATATAAAATTGATTCTTAGAGCTGCTTATATTGAAGAAAGTATTCACAAATAACTAAGCTCAATGCATTGTGCATGAGTTGTTTCTAGCTTCAATGCACGAAACGCAAGGCAAAACGGTGCTTTTACTAGAAATAGTTATTCAAAGTACCGATCTTAAATCTTATAAAGCAATAATTTTTCAGAAAAAAGATAACGACACATTCAATAATAGTAATTTCTAGCCATTTAAAAGTAAAAAAATCAATGATGTGATGTAAAAAAAAGGTAATGAAATAATAGGCAAAAATTTTAAAAATAGTAGTGTGATAAAAGAGCGGCTAAAGATTGAACAGTTCAATATGAGAGAGTGCAAAAATGAGACATTGGGAATGATGATGATAAAAAAGGTGACTGAATTAATTCTAGTTAGTAAAAACCGCCATCTAGAATAACACATAGAAATAGTTAAGCATATAAGGGTTTTTATTAATGGTGAATATAAATGTAAATCCCCCTCCCCCAAAAACTCATACACTGAAACAAGAATTATATATAATTACTATTACGAAAATTTACATACATATAACTAAATTATTACTTATCTCACACCCAAACTTTGATTTTTACACATTAAACACCCTAACCTATGTATGAAAATGTGGATCACACTATTTCCACCTTTTCATACATAAGAAAATGTGCTTAGGGTGTAAAAATCAAAGTTTGGGTGTGAGACAAGTAAATTCAGAAGAATTGGTTGCTATGTATATAAATTCCCCATAATATTATTATCAAATTACCAAAACGTACATCTTACAAAGCACTTGACATAAGAAGCCTTTTTTAAAAGCTCAAATCTCCAACCCAAAATTTTTCCTATTTACAAGTCATTGAAGGCTTTCCTGGGAACATGAAATGGGCTTTTTAAACACCATAAAACGAAATTCCGGACAAAATATTTAGCACGAGGGTATTGGACACTGGACATTGATAAAAATCCTTAGCGCCAATCTCCATAATCAAATTGGAAGTCATCAACTTTGTGAGGAAACTAACTGAGTGTGACAATCATAATGGGATTGTAGTTAGGCCCATAATTAACAATTTCCTAGGAATTGCCAAAAACAGAAGCATGAAAAACGGTATAGAAGTAGAAACCATGTTAAATAAATGAAAAGCTGAAACCAGGAAATTTGCATGGATAATTAAATGGCATGTTCATTGCAAATGAATTCAACACAACTACCTCCATATCATTGCGGTACAAGCTTTGTAGGAGCAGTGTTGCTCCCTTCGGCCAATGATTTTGCATGTTCAACAATTAAATTGGGTATCCATCCAAAAGACTTCTTTTTTAGGTCCTCGAGTACTTGGCTCGCTTCTTGAAGTTCATCTTGAGCACTAGCACCATGACTTGCCCATGCATCAACAACTTTTTTTTGGAATTCCAAGGCGAGGGTGAAGCTGCATGTGAAAGCAAAGGGCTATCTATTAGTTAGTAGCATAATCACAACGCTATTTAGCAACCCGTAAAATCACTTTCCATAGAGGGATATAAAGTAATGAGAATTCCAACTCTTCTAAATCAATTACAAGTCACCTAAAGGTTTAATCTAACGCCCACTAGAAAAAAATAAAAAATAAGAAAATCTAACACCCAACAGAGAAATTTATATATCCCCATGTAGCAGCATCCTCTTCAATCAATAAAAAAATCCTCACTGTATCAAGTGTATATAGGTCAAAATACGATACCCTTAGCAATGGGGAAGAAGTGGACGACAAAATAAAATTATAGAGATAAAAAAGGCCAACCAGAAAAAATTTGACAAAGCATATTTGCATTCCAAAAATGTAAATACAAATTGGCTAAAAACAGGTCAAGACATCCAAGATCAAAATTACGCAATGATACCGGAGTTAACCAAGAAAATAATAGGCAAACAAATATTAATACAAATAAAGCCAATCAACGATTACAAATGACACACTTGAAAGGAAAATAAAAACAAACTTGACAATCCAACTCAAATTAGGGTGGATCCCGGGGTTGTGGTGGTGATCAGTGAGGAATGGAAGATGGCGGGATGGTGGATAAGGTGGTTGGCAAGCAGAAAACAAAAAGGCGGCAGTTTTCTGGGTTCTTGATAGCAAGTATGCAGCAGATATCGACGCCGCGCATCCGTCTGGGGTGATGGTAGCAAAGAGGGCAGGGTTGGAACAACAGTCGGAACAACATTTGCCCTTGGATACAACCCTAAAGGAACACATGAGATGTTGACGATTATCCTGACAAAAACACAATGAAATACCGAAAACCTAAACTTTAAAAATCAAATATATAAGCCCTAAATAACTAAGGAGTGGCCCCTATTGAACAGAGACGCTAAAGCCTATTGGAAGTGTCGGCCAGTTCTATAGGTCTGGACCACTTCGGTCCAGGCAACTCGGAAAGGAAAAGAGGAGCCCGAGCCCCTTAAGCTCGCATCAGTCTTCCAGAATTAGGTTGTTGGTTCAAAATTAGGGAAATATAAAATATAAGAACGAAAAAAAAGCAAAAAACTTGACATAAACAAAACTAGGATTGTATTCCAAAGAGGTGGCGATCGCGTATGCAGAATGGAAGGGCGTTGGGTGGTTGTGGTAGATTGACGAAATGGTAACATGAATCGCAGCTGGTGTAGGATTGCTAATGGGAAATGGAATCAGATAGGGTTGCAGCAGCGAGGTGGGATGATTGGTGTACGTGGGAAACTGAGGCAGTTGGAAGGTTGAAGGAATTGTGTAGGAGGGTTGTTGTGAGGTGGTAGCAGACAGCAGGTGGGTGCGGAAAGGAAGCCGAACTGCAGCTGGTGTAAAATCGATCACGGCAACAGCAGCAAGTTGGCTCAGGTATGGGTTGAAGAGGGCATTATAAGGTTATATACCATTACATGCATGCAAGTACAATAGACCCTAGTAAGCATATTACATGTAAGCAAGTACAATACACACTAGTAAACATATGCAGTCATAAAAAAAAAAATAACACATTCTCCCTCAATGGTATAAATGCATCATATATGTAGACAGTTAGGTACATCATTTTGAGAAAAATCACTAATTAAATAGCCACAATAATTGGTTTACAAAAGAACCCAAGATAAAATACAATATCAAAGCTCTTTCAGCAATACCTCAAACCTGTCCAACTATTCATAAGAACTTTATATCACTCATATGAATGATTTTTTATCCAAAATATATTTAAGCTTGTCAAAAATTTTAACTTCTCATGTTAAATGGAATATGTGCCAAAGTTTACTTTAACATCAAATAAGATCTTCGTTAAAACAACTAAAAAATCAATCACAAACATTGCAGCTTAAGGTAACAAAACATTCCTCAAAAGCTCTGAATCAGAATGCTAAGCCATTGCAATCAATAGAACCTAAAACAAACATATTAGATACATAGGAAAGCCATTGCACGAGAAAAAAAGACCCATTAGATATCACAAAATCCAAGAGTTGAAATTTTGAAATCCCAACCATAATAGAAGCCAGAAATTCATTTACTTGCTGAGCAAAACTAACATACTAATAAGCAAAAGAGGAAAACTAGCTACATTAACGATGTCAAATTGTAGCCAGAGGCTTTACCATGCTGCAAGATAGATTCTATACTGGAAAAAGATAATACGAGCCACTAAACAAGAAATTGAGTTAAAATTTGCTATTTCTACCTCTGCATCGCACTGTAAGCATTAGCAAGACTCTGGCATGTCTGTATAGAATCTGCATGATGAGGTCCCAATGAAAGATCCATGATATCTTTTGCAAGCGCAAACATCTGTGCAGCTGTTTGTGGTCTCTCCAATTCCATGAATGCTGCCCCCAAATTGTTGTAAATATATCCCACTGCAAAATGCTTAGGGCCAAAACTTTCCTTCATCCTCTCAGCTGCACTTTCCAGATATTGAATGCCCTCTTCAACCTTCCCCGTCAAGAGAAGCAACCATCCAATCCTTCCCAAGACATTGCCTTCCATATGCTGCTCTTGTGGCAGCTTCTCAATCATTTCAAGGCTCCTTTTCAACAAGGATATCGCAGTTGTGAATTCATTCATTGTTTCGTACAAAGATGAAATCTCCAAATATGCTTCCGCAACCTTTGAAGGCAATATTGTTTCTTTCTTTTCAAGAATATCACAGGAGATCTCCAAACACCTCTTTGCCTCTGCAAACATTTCTTGGTTGCAGAGAGCCCTAGCCATAGACATGAACACCAATGCCCGGATCTCACTGTCATTGTCAGCCTGATGAGCAACTCCTTTGAGAGTCTTGACAGCCTCATCGTACTTTCCCAAAGCAATCTGTATATTAGCTGCATCAATCTCCGCAAGGATCAAATCAGAACTCATTCCCCAGCTCTTTAAGACCTTCTGTGAAAGCCGGTTCTGCTCCAATGCCTTCTGATGGTCTTCTAATCCAGTATGTATGACTCCAAGTAGCCGCCGATCATGAGCCACCTCCACAGAATTTTGTCCGAGCTGAGATAGATGAATCTCTAGTGCTTTCTCGCACAGTGGCAATGCTTCTTTGAAGTTCAAAACTGCAGCATAAGCTTCTGCTAAATCTCTATATGCAACGCCCAATTCTCGGCTATTAGGCTCCAAAATGACCTCCTTAAGGTCTAAGCACGTTTTTAGATTAAGCAACGCCTCCTCTCTTCTTCCCATCGCAGTTTTGGTGTTCGCAAGCTGCAGCTGGACAGCATGGATCACAGGCCGGACATCAATGTCCTCAGAATTCTCTCTTTCTAGGACACCCAGAATCCGATTGGCCCGGTTCAAAAACCCTAAGCTATCGTTGAACCGCTTAAGCTCGTAAGTGGCGGAACCCGCCAAATGAAGGGCCATGGCAACTGAAACAGACGCTTCTCCACCGTCATCAAGGACCTTCAGAGCTCTCAATCCAAAGCTTAAAATTTTCTCATGATCGTCAGAGCCAATGGAGTCCAGATGCTGGCCAACCTTTAAGCAAGCAAGACCAAGCTTCTTATCCTTCTCGTCCAGCCTAGCCGCGAACGCTTCGAAGGAGGTCAGAATGTCTTCTGTACTCGTTGCAGACTCGAAGGACTCCTCGAGGTCGGACTTCTCCCGGAGTTTACGCTGCCGAGACGGAATGGGAGGGCTAGAGTCGGGCAAGGTTTGGAAGCAGCGCGAATGAAGTTTCAATAGTATATGCTGGTGCCTAGTAGTGGGTATAGGAATCGCAGAAGAGATTGGATAAGAAATGAGAGATCGATTGAGCGAAGAAGAATCGAGGAAGAAGCATCGTGGCAATAACCTACTTCTGGAGGTGGATTTGAGGAGAGTCGATAGAAGGAAATAAGAGGAAGAAGACGCTCGTTTCATGGTGAACATTGAGGAAATTCTGGAAACATGGAATGGGGTTTATGCAAAACCCTAAACCATAATATATATATTAGATTGTTCCATATCACATCAAAAAATGTCAACATTTTAATCTATAAAAAAAAAAAAAAATTAAGTTTAGATATTAGACGTGTAAATACTTAATAATTGTGGTATATATATATAAATCTTTTTTTAAAAATTTATTATTGTAGAACCAAATCTCTTCAATAAATTTCAAATCTTTATAATGTGGACTCCAAAGTCTCATGCTATCTTCTATAACTAATTTATCATCTTCATGTGAATTGGACTAGTCCTAAACCTTCTTAGATTGCAATCAAACTACCTATGGGATAGGAAACCATGTTTCAATAGGATTTGACCACTGATTGATTGCTTCTAGTCATACCCTAACATGTCGCATACTTAGGATAGGACTATTAATAGGTTTCACCATACTTATTAGACCCATATAGAGTCAAACATACAATTTTTATTTTAGATCAATAAAAGTGAGTTTAAACCATTTTGCACTAAACTTCCATTTAGTTTACCACATAGATTGTTTGGTCAGGGTCGAAGCTTTCTAAGGTTTTAGTGAACCATCAAACCTTCTTGCCTAGTTTAAAAAAAAAAGATTGATTATTTTGCAGAAAAGTCAGATAGGTTGAGCACAAATCAGGAATATCATTTATTGCATTGTGTTAATAATATGGAATGGGCCAATCTATCCACTCTATTAGTAAATTTCTTAAACCATAAGATACCCACTATACTCCTCGCCATCAAGCTTAAGTTCAAGTGAATATAGATGGGTATTAAACCCTCAAGAGCAAAAAGGCTAAATCCATGGGGTTGAGCCTTATATTTATTTTAAAACCAATCATTAGAAATTGATGACTAGCTCTAGCATTAAGACCCAAAGCTAAGTTCAAGTATAGTTGTTCAATTTGACCATGGTCTAACCAACATTGATTAGTAGCTTAAATGAATCATTCTAAATTCATATGAGTCTTCTTAGCATACCATATTTTATATTTTGGATAAATTCATATAGAGAGACCTTAGGTTAAATCAGAGATAACACAACAATTGGTTGATCCAAGATAAACTAAATAATTGGTATGGGTCAAATCAAGCCTAATCAACATTAATTGGTCAGATAAACTAAACCAATGCCAATTTATTTCACTTAATAGCCTCTACTAGACGTATGGAGCTTGTTAAATTAAGTTCGAGCTAATTCAACGGTTGTGGTATGTGATGAAGTCAAAATTACTGCGGTCCTCACCCGTCTTTAACTTGGGCTATCAAAGAAGTTCATCGTTTGTGACGAGCTCACGTTCGGCTCGGTAAGTAGCTTGTGTTTGATTCGTTCATTAAACAAACGAGTCGATCACAGAGAAGTTTTTCTAGCTCGATTTATAAATGAGTTAAACCCAAACATTAAATTTTTTATGGTGTTTGGCTCCATTTATAAACTAATTATTTTCTCCTGTTTATTTATGATTTATATGTGATGCTGCAAAAAATACAATTGATGCTCATTAATGACCATTAGATTATAAATTTTCTTAGGTATTACACCCATCTCCGAGACAACAAAGAAGCAACACACAGTGTCACGCTCATCCACGGAAGCTAAAGTTAGAGTATTGGTTGCTGCAATTATTGACATTATATGGTTGTGAAGTCTCCTTAATGAACTCGGGACTGAACAAATCGTCTGACTAAGTTGTTCTGTGACAATGTTTTGGCTATGGCCTGCAAATAACCAAATATTCCATACATGCACCAAATATATAGAAATTGATTACCACTTTATTTGACGACACATTCATGACAAACAACTTCAAATACATTATATCCATACCGAGGATCTGCTGACTGACATTCTTACAAAATCCTTAGCTAAACAACATTTCAACCAACTTAAAACCAAGCTTCGGATTACACCAAACACCCATAAGCTTGTCGAACCATGCAGGGCTATAGCAGCAAAGGAATATTGCTCCACAGCTCTCACAGAATATCCTCCTGACAGCAGGACCATTCAGCTATCATAACCACCTTAGGAAATCATGTTATTATGCTTTACCAGGACTTTCCATGGGCTATGTATATAAATGGCTCACTATAAGCTTTTAGGCATAAATATAGAAATATACCATTATTCTCTAATTCTCCTTTGTCTTTATCTTGAAGTGTTCCAAAGAGAAGAAAGGCTAGAATGTGGTGCAATTTGGACAAATTTTCCTCATTTTCTTCATAGTAGATTTCTTGGTGTGGTGTGACTCCGTGATTTTTCCCCGTTCAAGGTTTTTTCGCATGAAATCCAGTGTTTTCTTGTTTTGAGCGCTTTCGTTTTAAAATTTACTTTGCATCTCTCAAATCAATTTCCACGATCTCTCCCAACATCTTGATATTTTGATGCTTAAAACTAGGTAGTGGAGAGGATAAACTTTTTACGGCATACATATAATTTTAAGCTTTTATCTATATATATTATTTCATTCTGATATAAAACTATATGGTTTCATTTATATACAAAATACATTTGGCTTATTATACGAGTTAAATCTGCATGAACGAGTACTTAGACTGCCATTTGTCCTTTTTTCTCCATTTTAAAGAATTCTTTGGACTCATATTAGAGTGTGTTTGAATGATGATAAATGACCATACTATATATATATATATATTCAATAAAT